CCCTCCCAAAAGCTCAGTCGTTGCCAAACGTCGTCTGCCACAAACATTTCTGATTCCGGCAACGATATCGATACCGCTGACATTGAGCTAGCCTATGAGCCGTGCTACAGGCCCTACGATATATTTGCCATCTATCAGAATCGTTTATGTTTTCAAGGTAAACGAATTGCATTTCACTTTCCTATCACGCTGATCTGAGCACCGCCGTACAACAAAACTCTACCCACTGTCTATAACGTATTTCACTGTGGTCCTCTATCTATTTATTCTTCTCTACTCTTACCTAGCTTACACATCAGCGATATGTTGTCTATATGTTGTCTATTCTATTATCGGGTGTGGAGTGTAAAAGCATTTCTTTTTGTGCATAAAATAATATACACGTTGTTTTTCCACTAACGTACACACACACACACATTCAAGCACACACACACATATGGTTTTTACATGTAAAGATTCATTCGAATTGTCTTAAGCCGATTAATACTAATGAATTTTTCTTTTCGTCTCTTGGTTTGTTCTATTAAAGGTCTGAAAGGCAACTCGACGTTTGGAAAGAATTTACGAAAGTCCACTGCTAAAACAACATCACCAGCATCATCGACGACAGCTTCAGCAACAGCAACGGCAACTGCTAATAATATTAACCTGCCCAATTCAAAGGGATCCAGTCACAATCGAACGTATAAAACGGCTGCCGTCATTAACATACAGCAACAGCACAACCCTGACAATGAATTACAACAGGAAAAAGCACAATGAACAACAATGAAATAATGAAACGCTAAAGCTATTGAATTGAATGGAAACCCAAACCCATAACCAAGAGCGAACAACAACAACAAAACCAGTGGAACAACCAAAGAATAATTAGTGCTAATAATAAATAAATTATTTTATATATTTAACATGTAAAAAAAAAACAAACTTAAACCAAATACAAAATCAAATGGAAATACATAAATACGAAGTTGGCTAACAAAGATGATGTTGGTGATGTTGCTGCAGATTCTCTTAACCAGGAGCGATTAGGAGAACGAGATTGAGTTACACTAACAACGACTGTTCGCCCCCCTCCGCCATTAGCTGGAAGGGACGCTGAGCAATGGAAAACTAATCACAATAAAATATACACAACAACCAACAACAACAACAAGATCATCGTAAACTAGCAACTGGCTGGTTTATCAATTATTGGCCAAAACGGATTTTCTTTGATAACGAAAACATTTTATGTATTTATCAGCTATTTTATTATTGTATTGTATCTGTATCTGTAACATTTACCCAAACTTTCTATGTCCATTAAATGTGTCATTTACTTATGTGTAGTGTTTAGGTCAAATCGAAAAGAAAACAAAAATAAACCGAGAACAGCAGTTAAACCATAAATATGCTCAACTATTTATACGTAGATGGCATTGTCAGTAGTTTGTTAGATTTTTCTATAATATTTTAATCAAAATTGTTTTGCATTCATACACAAATGAATATTACACATATAAAAATATAAGTGCATTATAACTATTAATAAATTAAACTACTATTTGTTCTGTTAACCATTGGTATTAATCAAATATTTACTACTGATGAAATTTTATTCGTGCCACTTTGGTGGCAAACGCAAAATATATTATATTTTTTTACAATTAAGTCGTTATTCGTGCAAAAAAAAAATTTAAAAGTATAAATAATTGTTTATAGTTTGAAATAAATAAAAAAAAAAAAAAAATAAATAAAAAAAATTTCTTTACTTGGGCTCGTCCGGGATTTGAACCCGGGACCTCCCGCACCCTAAGCGGAAATCAT